ACATACATTTTCAGTTTACAGAGCCAACACTGACTGTATTAGATGCAGCAATGACCAAACATTCCTATGAAGCTGAAGGTGTGACTTGCTCAAAGACATGTAAAGAGCCTGTTGTCACCAAAGTTAGCTTCTAATGCATAGCTTACTAAGTACTTACTTAGTAAAGTGAGATAAGGTAAGCCATGCATCACGCACATATGTAAAAGATAGGGATGCACCGATACCGGAATTTCGGTAAAGAGTGCGAGTACCGATATTTTTTTTCCGGTACTCGCCGAAACCGAATACAGAGTACCGGAAGTCCCATTCAGGAAGCCACCTGGCTTCCTGATTCATGACTCGCATTCATGACTAGTGATGGGCTCGGGCGTGTTCGCAGCTCCACATGCCGAGCCCGCCAGGAAGCTGGCAGCGCCAATCACAGGTACTGAGACATATCCTGGTCCGCAGCTGCAGAGATCGGGATATGTCTCAGTACCTGTGATTGGCGCTGCCAGCTTCCTGGCGGGCTTGGCACGTGGAGCTGCGAACACGCCCAAGTCCATCACTATTCATGACTCGCCACCTGGCTTCCTGATTCATGACTCCCATTCATGACTCGCCACCTGGCTTCCTAATTACCCGGGATGCCGGGCAGCGTGTAAAGACTCTCCACCCGGCTTCCAGCTTTATTTGGTAAAACGGCATAAAGACTAAGTATAGCTTTAAGAAATCCTAAGAGTTGGAGCTAATGAAAAACTGCTAAAGTTAATCTTGCGGCAAGTATGTGGATGTTTAACAATCCTGTACAATATGGAGATTATCTTTCCAAACTAATGACCAGGCAGGTTGAAACCTGTCCCCGCGGTGGCAGTAGACCAAACTGATTGTGTTTTGATGTGCTGGATATTGACTGACATTGCAGTAATATATATTGATAGCCTTTTCCTGGTGCTTACATAACTGTAGATGTATTCGTTTTACCATGGCATTGCTTGTGCATTCCTTTCCATTGCCATATATCATCACATGATATCCTGCCTCTCACCTTCCTCAGAGCTCTTTTTTACACTGTCTGCACACCTCAAGGTAGTAGTAGCTCAGTTACTTTGCTAGATACAGATGGAGCAGCCACATGCAATGCAATCTGGATGGCAAACAGGCAGTATATAGCTCCTCAGCAGCAGAAGAACACAGGGAATCTGCATGGAGGAAGCCTGATGGACAATATTAACACCAACTGACTGCCAGCTTGGAGGACAGAACGGTCATAAAAACCAGCTGCTACCTGTGAAGATGTCCTGACTTCCTCTACTGGTTCTCCATATTCTACTAGACAAGGATTAGATTTTCAGCCTGCTGGTATTTATGTAAATGAAATCTTTTCCTGTCAGTTGCTTACTATTTTAAAAATTCTATTCAATATTCTTAAAGTGACATTAAAGTCCCCCCACAGTGCTAATGTAAGGACTTACCTTAAATGATGCCTCTTAATCTGATCATCTTCTTTCCAGTTTTCAGCCTTCTCTTCAGCGCTGGTGCGGGTCTCCGATCCAGCGCTGACTCCTCTGTCCTCCTCTTTTCTCATGTCCCACGGAGTCTGTGCAGGTGCACGATGCTACATAGACTTACCTTGCGTCTCTCCTCATCTCCCGGCCGAACATCTGAACTGCACATACGCCCGTCCCAAGATCCTTTGCGGCCGCCCGAGAAATGTTTAGATGCTCAGACAGGAGCGCGCGGCGGAGACACAAGTATTAACCCTTTGAAAAAAAATGTTTTGATCGTTTTGCCTATATCTACTGCTTGCTAGTAGTAGATATATGCAAAAACAAATGAGGGTTTAAAATCCCTTTATTATGAGTATCTAAAGCCAATTTGTATTTGTGTCGATCGGTGAAGAGCTGGAACCCCTGTGAGGCTTGTTTCTTTTTTATATTAGTTTACCACTAAACTGATGAGCAGTAAAAGCTTTTAAAGCGTTTCCCATGGACAATTTTGGGTATGGATGTTTTTGTGTGATCTTTCAGGTGCACGTACACCTTAGGTGTCTATTTATCCAACGTGACCCAATCTTTTATATTTTACCATAATAATGGATAATAATAAAGGCTTCATAACAATGTAAGGAAAACAGTTTTTTTCAAAATTGTAATTGTAAATTTTTTTCTTTATATAGTAAAAAATAAAACCCCCAGTGGCGATTAAATACAAATCAAAAGAAAGCTCTCTCTGTCCCCAAAAAAAGAAATAAAATGAATTTCAGTACAGCGTTGCATGACAGAATAAGTGTCAGATAAAGTACCGCAGCGCTGAATACTGAAAAATGGCATGGCCAGGAAGGGGGATTAACATCCTGGTCTTCAAGTGGTAAATGTATATGACATATATAACATAACAGAAATGATTTAATTGTGCCCATCCTTTCTAGCTAAATTTACTCTATAAAGGCAGTGCTGTAAATGGATGGTTCATATTAGCATATGATTTTGTTAACATAGTTGTAAATCCTGGTAGGCTACAATAGTACCCCATTTGGATTATACTGTATATCGGCAGGGAGAGGGCATAAAAACAGCAATTCCAACCCCCACTGAGTACTTTAGAAAGAATGTGGTGTTATATTAGCTTTGTGGTTTTCTTCTATTTGGTTATACTCAAGTTGGGCACTGTGCAGAAGAAAAATGTGCTGACACAGTATTCAGGATGTCAAGCTTCACTTAAAATAGCAGTTGAATTACAGGGGAAAACATTCCCATTGCTTCATGTCACAATGATTATCGTGGTGCAGCGTGGTAATCTCTGCTGGGTCAGAGGCCAGCTAAAATGATGTAACTGAAAGGAAACCTGTAATAAAAGAAATATGAGGCTGCCATAGCTGAACTGCTTTTAAGAATGCTGGTTCCCTGGCTGTCTTGTTTTGATAGTGTCTATGCAGTCGTTCAAATTAGAAATGCAGAGTTACTGCAGATTTGTGCTTTGCCCATGCAGGGCAAAGAAACAGGTTTGCTTTTAATGCCCCCTCCTATGCAGCTCATACATTTCCTTTCCATTCAGAAACCAGGCAAAGAAAATACCTTGGCGGGTTTGAAGATGATATACAGTACTCTCCTTCTTCCCATGTGCTGAGCATTGGCCTTGATATCCTGTTTTAGGGTGAATCCTTTCTCAAGCAGAGTTCTATGGAGCCACCCTTTTGTGTGTTAGTAAGCTGTGTGTGTCTACACAGATACAGCAAATCAAGCTACTCCCCTCCCCTCTGAACAGTTGCTGGAGATTGTGCTGTTTGTTGTGATCATGTACTGGACAGGAAGTTTAGGGAAGAGGAGCTGGGAGACTTGGAACCAGCTTTTCAGAAACATGATGACTGTAAGTGCTTGCTCAAAAATATAAAGAAATACTTTGTGCAATGTATATTTGTTTCATCTGGATTCATGTCAAAACAAATCTCAAAATAATACTACTTTAGAGCCCATTCACACCACATCCAGATCATCTCCAGACCAGACCAGACCAGATTGTTTCTGGACCTAAAATGCATCCTAATGTATCCTTAGGCCCGGTTCACACCTGGGCGTTTTGTATCGCGTTCCTACGCTCTGCAAAACGCTCAAACACTGAAATCCCATTATTTCCTATGGGTATGGTTCACACCTGGGCGTATTACGGCCGTATGAACGCGCTACAAAAACGTCCTACGCCCAAAGAAGAACTGGAGCTTCTTTGGGGCGTTTTTGTCACGCGTTTCCATTGGGATACAGCCAAGTAGCCCTCGGAAACGCGCCAATCGCGAGACTAACGCGCGACACGAAACGCGCAGATTTGATACGCCTAGGTGTGAATCCAGCCTTATGCTATTTCTGGCCTCTGTTCACACCAGCACAGTCTGTTCGACCAGACCATAAAAATACTGCATGTCTCATTTTGTCTGGTCTGGAATGCACTGGAACTGCGGGCAGGTTCACACCATTTTCTGAACCAGATCTGGTCCGAAAAATGGTGTGAACCTGCCCCTTAAAGTCAACCTGTTTCTTTGTCCTACGTATACGAGTATAGCCCAGGTTCTCTAAAGTCAGAACACCTGATCTGCATACTTGTTACAGAAGAAAAGGTCAGCAATGGCAACCTCTGTTTTCTCTCATTTCTGGTTTCCTTTAAAAGGGACCCTGCCATTAAAAAAAAAGTTCCCCAGACATATTTGTAAAACATGGCTGGACATATCCCAGGAGTTAGATAGCCAATGCTCCCTAAAAATTACAGTTGGTGCCCAACTATTGAAGTTTTTTTCTAGTTGTTGCCAAAGGAACTGGCTCCTACAAAAACATCTGCTGGCTCCTGGATTGAACAGACTGGCTTCTGAATTCCATATTAATTTGCCCATCTTTGTTGTAAAATAATTGCCTGCCCTGCCAAAATGCCTCACCATTTGTGAGAAATCTTCCTCTGAAGTCCACAGGGAAACAAACACTTCTGGAACCCAGAATATTGACAATCCCGGAAACTGTCAGCTTCCCTGTGGGCTTCAGGGGAAATGTTCTGCTGGATGGAAAGGCATTCAGGTATTTTTTCTTTTACAGGTATGTCTGTTTGGGGAACATTTTATGACAGGGTTGCTTTAAGGACTTGTTCAGCAAGACGGCGCAACAGACAGAGGTGATGTGCAACATACAGTATGTGCAAATCAGCTTTCCCCAACTTAATATAACAGAAATCAGGTTGCTACGTGATGACTTATATCAGCTACAAACCGGTTGCTCTGTTGGACGTTCCATTTTCTGGAAGGTCCGGTTGCACTGGCACAGATGATTTTGTTATAACAGAGGCACAATCACTCTGGCACCTTTTAGGATGCTCATTGCATGCTGTTATCCTAATATTCTAGTCACTGATACAGTGACTATACTTTATGAGATGATCTCACTGTAGAGGCCCCCCTTGCATTTGTCATTTGTCTACATGAATTGCATTGTGTGATGTGGCCAGTGCTCTTTGGACTGACTGTTCAATTTTCTTTCTTGTAGTTTGCTATGGGATGGACAAGGAAGAAGAGAACAAATATGTGTCCCAGCTACAAGAGGTCTTCTCCAGCTGTGACACAACAGGCACGGGTTACCTGGACAAAGACGAGCTGACAGATCTGTGTCACAAGCTCCATCTGAATGCACAGCTCCCATTACTCCTGCAAACACTACTGGGCAACGATCACTTTGCCAGGGTAATATTTTAAGGTCAAACTCTATACTAGACTGCCAGAATAATTTTGTGTCAAATCAAATCTGCTTTTAACTGGACCTAAAACTAAAAGTTAGTCCTACTACCCGGTGGGTAGGACTAGTGGCCTTTGTCTAAAAGGGGTGAGTGATCAGTGTTGAAGCAGATCTGTTGGCTGGTAATTTTGGGTCCTGTGTACGCTCTCTGGCTCCTGTCTCCTCATTGGACAGTGAATTGGCATCATTACCTCTGTCCAGTAGCTGACACAGGAAACTGTAATGGTAAAGCAGGAAGTAGCAGAATGACCTTACTAACTAGCTGAGGTGTGTGTGTATATCACAAGAATGGCTGACCAAACTTTCAAATCCCTTCTCAGGTAAAGCTGTCAACATATATATGTATTTCACTCCTGTATTTAGGTTTTTTTGCCTGGAGTTGCACTTTAAGAGGCCATTGACAACACAACCTGTTGCAATACAGGAGTTTTCGTGCATTGAAGTGTGTTGTGTTGTACTTTAGGCAGCCTATTCAAAGTGAATGGGCTGTAATACATCTCAATACACAAAAAATAGTGGCTGCAATTTTCTTAGTGCACCGCACAGGACACCGTGTTTGTGATGCGTTGCAGTGCATTGTGGAAGTATATTGGGTTGCCATTCAAAATGAATGTCCTCTCAGCAAACCTACGCATGTAATGTGCATTTAGCGCATTGCAGGTGGTGTGATTAGGCCCTAAGCTTAAAACCTTTTGTAGTTGCCTTTTTCGCCAAGCTCCCTGGTAGCCTTAAAGTCTGAAGAGAGAGAGAGAGCTGCTACCCAGGGGTGCCAGCACATACTTGCCTCTTCTCTCTTTGCCATCTGCTGTGCCTAAATGCCAGCTATTTTGAATGGGCAGAGCTGCGGCACTTTCTTTCATCCCCCGATTCTGTCCAAGGTGGTAAGCCAGCAGAGTAATAGGCCAAAAGGAATGTGGTTGGGAGGCAGTGGACAAGCTCTGACACTACAAGAAAGTGTTGTTGCTTTGCCTGTTCAGATTTGAATTAGAGCTGCTGTAGGTATGGGCAGGCAAGAAAGAGTCCTGCCATGAATGGATTAAATACAAACACTTACCTTTGTGTTGTAACATTTCTTTAGGTTTGAAGTACCAAGAAAGGGAAGGAGATAAAGAACAAAGTTTGTTACTACTTTTTTTTCCATGGTAATCACTGAACACAGACATGTCTACAAACAGATGGTTACCGTACATTCCTGAATTCCTGAATGTGATGTAGTTGGTACAACAATAAATAAACATTTTTATTTGCTCTACGTCTCACTGAGAAGAGTAAACATACACAATTTCTTTTGAACATCTTGTAAGAATAATATTGGTCTGGCTACTTGGTGTCACTATTCATAACTATCTTTACAATACGTACTTTTCAAGTTGTTATGTTTACAATAACACATGAGACTTTGCATACATGTTGAAGAGGGTGTAGGTGCACATCCTGCAATAACATTAATATGGTAAATGTATAGGAACTGGCATTGCTAAGACAAACTAGAAACTCTAGTCCACATGTACCATGCTACCATTACAGGTGACACCCCTAGCAGGTGATGCGAGCTTCACCTGAACATCCTACAAGGAGTGATGGGCCATGAGCCTAGTTACAGGTGACACCCCTAGCAGGTGATGAGGGCTTCACCTGAACATCCTACAAGGAGTGATGGGCCATGAGCCTAGTTACAGGTGACACCCCTAGCAGGTGATGAGGGCTTCACCTGAACATCCTACAAGGAGTGATGGGCCATGAGCCTAGTTACGGGTGACACCCTAGCAGGTGATACAGGCTTCACCAGAGGACCCTAAAAGGTGTTGTCAGTGCACTGGCTCCTTGGATTTTTGGGGGACTAAGGCCAGTTCTAGCCTCTCCCCTGCTCAAAAAACATTTGCCAGGGCAGTGATCCCACTGCATGTGTCTCGAAAACTTGGTCACATAATATTACATTACATTGCCAATATCAGGAGTTACACGGAGAAGCTTCTCAACTCTGTGCTCTGGCTACTTTGTGCAACCCCTCTTTGATAACACCATATTCACTGTAGTAAATTTAATAAACTGCGGGGGGAGGTGGGGTCTAGTATGGTGTGAATCTGGGACAAGATCTGCACTGGGGTCCTGACTGATAAAGCCACTGACAGTAGGGCAACCATGATACTCTATGGAAAGATCTGGGCCACTGCTGTTATCCCGTACTGCCTCTTTTCTATAATAATGTACTATATCTATATATGGGGCTTTCTTGACAAGTTGCAGGCATGGATAACAAATGGTGTATAATATTTGATACATGGGGAAGCATTGCAGTATTAAGAGAACTATGGGTTCAGGGCTTTACCCCATAGTTCTCCTAAGGGTAACGGGAGGACACAAACTAGCGTCCTCCCGTCACCCTAAGCTCAGTATACCGCGAGCTACAGCTTGTGGTATACTGAGACGCCGCAGTCGGGACTAGTCCCGGGAATACTGTCTGGATCCACCAAGCTGCGGGATTGACAGCTGGCTCTGCCTATCCAGAGGCAGAGCCAGCTGTACCCGCCCTCTCCCCTGTCCGTTTCGCCAGTCAGCGCTGGCGGATCGGAGCGGGGAGGGGGGAATCCAGCCCCTCCCTTTTCACGGCAGAGAGCAGTGACAGAATCGAGAGGTGAGCAAACGCCGGTATGTGTTCGCTCACCTCCCGATCTACTGAGCCGACCTGTGACAGTTTCATTGTCACAGGTCGGCTCAGATTATGAGGCTGAGTGAAAATCACTCGCCTCATAATTCTCCTTTAAAGCTGAATTTTCTATTTTTCTTGCTTTTCCAGGTTAACTTTGAGGAGTTTAAAGAAGGGTTTGTAGCTGTGCTTTCTTCATCTATTGACATCAGCATATCCGAGGATGATGATGATGAAAGCAGTTATTTGGAGCCAGGTAAGCATTGTCTGATCATTATAGTTTGTCATTTCAGATAGGTGTGAACAGATTATTTATTGTGATAAGTATTTATTTATTGCTTAGTCATTCCAGATGAAGTCAAACCAAAGTTTGTAAAAGGTACCAAGAAATATGGCCGACGCACTCAACCTGAGCGTGAAGCTGCAGAAAATGAGGCCAACAAGAATCTGCAAGAACCGCATCAAGGCAAGAATAAGAAGAAAAGCTCTCTGAGGAGGTCCTCTTCACTGGAGAGTGTGGAGGTAGGAATGATTCACCATAGGAAAAATGTTGAACTCCAAACTGCGGCAATAACAACTCGCTGACATTGGTTTTAAGACCTCTAGCATGCCTTAGTGTTGCAAAAGTGTGTGGGTTTATCTGCATATAAATGTATTAAAGCACATCTAAACTTTAACTGGATTACAATTAGTTTGCTAAAGCCCCGTTAATAATTTTTTTAAAATTAAAATGTTTTCACTGTTTAATTATTCTTTTTTCATTTGGGGGCACTGATCTCTGGCAACCTTCTCCTGTCTACATGCATGTCCTGCAGTGGCTGCTGCAGCTCATTTTTGCTCTGGGGTAACTCCTCAAGGGTGATAATAATGGTGGACCATGTCTCATAGGTTTTAATACATTTCCCACTCTTCCCTCCCATTGTGATCGAAGCATGTGCGTATTATATACATTTGTCTTTTTTTTTTTTAAAAGGCTAAATTCATCTTTCTGATCATGTTTCATGTTACACTCATATAAAGGGTGTAACATAAAACATGGTCACCTGAATTGAGGGGTTCCTGAGGGAGTTGGAGTTCTCACTGGAACACAAGTGCTATGACGTCACCGCTATTGTAGCCCATTGACACTTCCTATAGACGTGGACGGGAGGAAGAGTCTGCAGTAGCCAGAGCACCCAAGATCCACTGATCGCAGTTGCAGTGTTTTACTGGCTTCTATGCAAAAACATAAGAAATAAACATTTTCCTTTTATGAAGAAGTGTGCATTTACTAAGGTGGAATTTCACATTAAGGCCCATTTGAACTCTATAATATATCCAGGTGCATCAAAACAAAGGAATGTTTAGAAAAGCCCGTCTTGTCCCCTGCCCACATACTGCAGAGAAGGACCTTTGTTCTCTGTATGGAAGCAGTGGTCTCTCAGCAGTAGTCTGATATGCCCTCTGCTGAATCTGAGCTAGAACTGCCTAAGCAGAAAGGAGCATAAGATTTGTTGATTGCAGAAATATAGGGCCAATCCAGCAGGGGGTGTATCGGACTTTTGCAGAGAGACCACTACTTCATACTGACAATGGACTGGCTTCTTGCTTTGCTACACCGGCTGTGGCTGCATGCATGCCTCTTTGTTTTGATGCACCTGGAATATATTTAGCTAATTTCAATATCAGCTTTAACATTGGTAATATATTTGTAGAGGAGCAATAAAAACCTAGGGGGAATTTATCAAAACTGGAGCAGACAAAATCTGGAGCAGTTGCCCATGGCAACCAATCAGCTTCTCTCTTCAGTTTGTTCAGTTAAGATTTGAAAATGAAAGAGAGAAACTGATTGGTTGCTCTGTACAGCTGCTCCAGATTTTGTCTGCTCCAGTTTTGATAAATTCCCTTCTTAGAGTTCTGTATTTACCACCAGATGGCAGAACAGACATTAGAGAATCAGTCTAATGTCCCAGCCAGAGTTATAGAAGCCTGTGCATAGGATTTGGATGGAAACCAACTAACTTAGCAATATATCTTTTTGGATTGCTAGTTCTTCCTGTGTTTTGTTTGGCTTTGTTACGGGTTTTCTCTCTCTTTAGCAGTAAGAAGAAATAAACCATTTTCAATGATACTCTCAGCCTATAGTGTTTACATCTTCTACGCTTATGTTTTCCCTCAAATTCAGAACTTTGATGTGCCCGTGCACAATTAGTGGAGTAATTATAAAGCGGTAAATATGACTTTCACCAAACATTTACTGGTTATCAATCGATGTTCTTTTAAAATGCATGCCCCAGGAATATTCACCTGCAGTACATTTTTGGTGTATGTCAGATTATTATCTGCTTTATAAATATACCCCTAAGTTTATATAAAGCCTAACAATGGTCTGTATTGTTATCAGAGCACTGCTTTCTGTGCACTATGCAATTTTCACTCAAGCATTATTATCAGCTCTGCCTAGCTCATGTGCTGAACTAAAAAAAACACTAGGGATGCACCGAAATGACATTTTTAGACCAAGACCGAAACCAAAATGACTTTTTTACCCCCCAATCTTTGTAACATTTTTAAAAATTATTTTATTTTTACTACTCATTGATTTTTTTTGTTTTTACTTTACGGTTAGTGGCTTTGGAGAAATATCAGAGGTCTAAACAGACCCCTGATATTTCCCTTGTCAAATAGAAAAAGATTGAGAACACAGAGTCCTAAATCTCTTTTTCTGCAGCCCCTGTTATGAATGAACTGGAAGATTCTATACTGAGTGCTCCTGCCCATTCATAAACTGAGGAGATAGTATCAGTTACTATGCCCACAATCATGAATGAACAAGAAGTAATGTAGAGCACTGATCGGCGAGTGTTTGTGCTCTGCTCTCCATCCTGACTGCTCCGCCTGTCGCAGGAGGCTGAGCTTTCCTCCCGCACCACCCCGCTCAACATCTTGACAGGGCTCTCCTCCTTGCACCGCCCCACTCGGCCTCCTGACAGCTTCTCTACTACCCATTAGGTGACAGCAGCTGGATTAACTCTGTGTCCCCTCTGATCACCACTGCCTCTGCGGACACAGGTGGGGGAGAGCAGCAAGGATTGGAGGGGATACAAAACAGTCGCCCAGTGGATAGGCGAGAAGCTAGGCATATGCTGCATTTTGGGCTGTTTTGGTACCATAAGCATTTTGCCTAAAGTACCATTTTTGGCCATAATTTTGGTGCATCCCTAACAAATACCTCCCCTTTGCTATGGAAAATGCAGAAGGGAGGTTATTCTGGGCAGGGCTGACCCCATTCTTTGCAATTTCAGTTCAGTGCACCGTGTTGTCAGCTCACAACAGGAAATAAAAAACAATGCATTTTTGCAGGAACTTTATCGGAATAAAACATGGGGAAATGAGCATATATTGCACAGATGTACATTTTTTTTTATTAGGCCCTGACATACACTAAATAAAGTTGCTGCAATTTCAATATCATCATTATAGTGCTTAACATTGGCTTAAATAGGTTAATTGCTGTGCTACAGCTATATTCCTAATCGGATTATTTATTGTGAATGTTTGTTTTTTGTGCTTTATCTGAGTTTTATATTGTTACTTGGACCCTGAAGTCCCTTTCTATTTTTTTTTTTTTATTCTTTATTTTGAGCCAACATTTTACAGTAAACATATAAACACATACACAATCGAGTAATGAGAAAGTACATATACAAACGTAATAAGTAAAGCTATATCAGCTAGCCCCAATCGCTTAATTGGCTAAGGATCAAACATTAACAGCATAACATCATATGCCACATCCGGGTGTTTGGGGGGTTGCAATGCACATCTTATATGTCATATTGTATGATAAGCCATGGTTTCCATTGACAGAGGAGGGTAAACCACAGGGTCTACCTTTCTGCTTTCGGGGGCTGAGGGAAGGGGCAGGACATCAGACAACATCAGGACAGGAGAGGGATGAAGAAGGAGGCATACAAACGAGAGGAAGGGAGGGCAGGACCAGTAAGCAAGTGTGAAAGAGGAGGCATAGGACAGTGGGACATGGTAAAGCCTGTCGAGTGGGTCACTCACTGGGCTCTTTCTAGTGAGCCATTTAAAGGAGGGAGATCATACAGAGTATGCTCTGCCCTCAGGGGAATCCATGTACTCCAACTAGTAAAACCATGTCCCAGAGTAACGTTCCTGCCTACCTTGAGAAGACAGAATCATGTCTTCCATTACCCTAATCGCCTCCACCCTGCATATCCACATAGATATTGTAGGGGAAGAGGGATTCTTCCAAAGACTAGGAATGCAGGATTTAGCTGCATCCAGCAAGTGACGTACCACAGATCGGGAGTAAGCTTTCCTGGACATAGGAATGTTGTGCAACAGGAAAAATGAGGGTTCCAATGGGAAGTCAGATTCCATGAACTTCTTCACAATGTCGCGAACCGTTGACCAGAATTGTGCCAAGGCTGGGCAGGACCAGAAGATATGGAGTAGAGTTCCCCTGTCCGCATTACATCCCCAGCAGACGTTGGCAACTCCACCATACATCCTATGTAAGAGCTCCGGTGTTCGATACCATCTTGTTAGGATCTTATAATTAGTCTCCTGATATTTAGTACATATCGATGATCGCAGAGTGAAATGGATAATATTCCGACATTGGGCATCGGAGAACGTGTTCCCTAGTTCTTGTTCCCATCGTGTCAGGAACACTGGTTTTCCGGGCTCTGCTGGCGTTGCAAGAGTTGCGTATATCTCAGATAGGGTATGCCTCGTCGGTCCCTTGGAATAGCACAATCTCTCAAAAGATGTACGTGCGTTCCCAAAACACGCAGCTGGTGGTAAGGTGAGAAATAAGTGCCTCAGTTGGAATGCTTTCCATTGGTCCAAACCAAACACTCCGTCCGGATCGGTAAGGGATGCCATGGAAGGCCACATACCCCCACGTATAAAATGGGAGGCCTGAAAGAGGTTCTTGACAATCATCGAAAAGGGCCAGGCGAGGTTCCCTGTGGAAAGGCAGGGTTACCCATAATTGGGTAGAGCGGGGAAGCTTCACTAATCAGACCCCACCTGCAAGAGTAGTACCCGTCAGGGGATGGATCTTAAGCGAGTGGGGGAAAGTCGAGGGACACCATGCCGCCCTAGCCAAGAGATAGGGCGACATGGATTCCTCCAGGGGCACCCATTGTTTTGTAGGTGAATGCCTGCACCAGTCGACCAAGCGAACCAGATGGCTAGCTACATAGTATTTACGTAGGTCAGGAAGGGCTATGCCCCCTGAGTCTTTAGGTAGAGTCAGGAGGGAGTGGCATAAACGGGGATGGCGATTAGCCCATATAAACTTTGTCAGCAAGGAGTTGACTTGGCGAAAATACCTGTCAGGGACCGAGATAGGTAGGGCTTGAAAAAGATACAGGAATTTCGGCAAAATAGTCATTTTGATGGCGTTGTACCGTCCAAACCAGGAAAAGAAGCCATTCTGCCAGTTGGAAAGGAGCGTGTGTACATGTGCCAAGAGAGGTGGGAAATTGTAGGTAAAGATATCCTTC